GGAAAGAAGGGGGGGGGGGAGGGGCAGAGCAAGAGTGGGAGCAGCGGAGGACAGCAAGTATGCGTCGCCATGCTCCGGCCGGAGGAAAATATCGCAGCTGAGCCACGATGACGCGCAGCGCAGCGCGCCTGACGCCGCGGCGCCGCCCGCGAGCAGCCCGCGCAGCCCGTCGTAGATCAGAGTGGCGGCGAGGCGGGGCGCGGCGGTCACGACACGACACGCTGCGATGTTATTTTTGATCGCATCGTTTTGGAAGACGCCCTCCACTCCACGCCGCCGCCGCCTCTCTCTCCGAGAGTTGGAGAGCCCCGCAGCGGGCCGCTCGGCCCGTAGGGCGCCCTTCGCCGCCATGGCCGCCACGCGCCGCCACCTCCCTCACCTCGCTCGTGCTCGGCTAGCGAGCGGTCCCGATCAGATAGATGGAGGCGCGGCAGGCGCAGCCTCCCCGCCCCCTCCTCCTCCCCTTCGCCCGCCGTTACCTCGCGACCCGACGGGCGGCTTTAGCTCAAGTCATCCGTGGTGCGGCGCGGCCCGTCCCGGCTTTCCCTCGGGGCCACCTTGCGCAGCGCGCCACCTCACTCACTCACCTCGCCCCGCCGCCCGTTCGAACCACCCCGCAGCCCAAGTCCACCGAGAGCTCCGCCGCTGGGTGGCGGGTGGCCCGCCCCGCCTCCCGCCGGGTTATCGCCCACTTCCGCCAACATCACACCCCGCCGCCACGCCACGCCGGGCCCGTAGCCGGCTGGCCCGGCCGGCCCGGGCTAAAAGCCAACTTTTTCATTCAACTTTTCAAAACGGATGAAGGTGATCGACCTCAGCCCCAGCTCCGCCGAGCCCCACCCCGTCGCGCCCCCACCCACCCCCGCCCGCCGGCCCGTCTCATTGCCGTCCCTCACAATCCTCCAACTCGATCGCGCCCCTTAGTCAGGCCCAGCCCCAGCCCAGCCGCCGCCGCTCGAAGCCAGACAAAAACAGCGTCCAAGTTGAACTCCACCCGCACTTCGCGATGGCAGACCGCGTGTAAGAAAATCTTACATAGTTCTCTCTACGAGACGTAGTTTACAAGATCTGTGGAGCTTGTGAGAAGTCGCTCGGCTTGGCTCGTCCGCCTACAGAGAGGAGCCACAAGGACGAGCCGACAAGGAGGCCCGACAGGCGATCGCCACCGCTTTCCCGGACGCTGACTTGGAAACAGGCATTACGACGTCCACCCGCCACGCTTCGCCACGCCGCACACCGTTCAATGCTGTTGTTATGATGGCTCGCATCCTGCTAGGCGGGCGCCTCCTCCTCACCGCCGCTCTGCGCGAGAGAGAGCGAGAGGGAGAGAGAGACGTGGAAAGGTCAGCCAGTCACGCATTCCCAATCAGGTGAGCGTACGACAACAGAGCGGCGTGCACGACAGCCCGCGAGAGCTCTCTGGCGACAGCCGACAAACGAGAGGAAAAGACAATTTCCCTCATCAAAGCAGCGCGCATACGCGAGAATACGCAACGACTCGCCAAAAGGCCTAACGAGCTGCTAAAGCACGCACAAGCTCGTCGGCGAGCACTCCCCTCCTCCTCCGCGCACGCTCGCACGCACAGCGCGTTTATTAGCACGGCCGAACAGCGGCTCTCCCATCCGCTCCGAGTTGGGCCCCTTAGCAACTTGGGGAGTTTGCTTTTGCGGGATGCTGTACAGCGGAGCGAGAGCACCTCGGGGGCGGGGAGGGAGAGATGCACGGGCGGTGCGCTGAGAGGAACCGACAAGCGAGCAGCAGCAGCAGCACCAGGAAAGAGGAGAGGAAACAGAAAGAAATGGTGAAAGGGAGAGAGGAAGAGAGGGAAGTGGAGAGAAACGACGACGGGAAGCGCAGTGCAGCAACAGCTCGTCAGCGCCATAGAGCGCAGCGCCGCCCCGCCCCGCCACTCCGCGCACCGCACCTCTCGGTCAAGGCCGGAGTAGGAGCGCCGGCCCCGGAGTGCCCACCCCGCCCCGCCCGGACTGGAGCACACACCGCGGTGGGGCGGGGCGGGGGCGAGGTGCGGCGGGGGCGGCCTGGAGCAGGCCTGGAGTGCGACGGGAAGCTGGGCCACGTCCGTCTGTGGGACCGCCACTCTCCTTCCGGATGCACAGGAAGCGCGGCGGCAGAAGGACCCAACGCCGCCCCATTTACTTGTGCCTTATCTTTATCCAGCGCCGAGCCAAACAAGAGGAGTGCACACACAGCGGGGCGAGCGCGCCACCGGGCGGCGAGGCAAAAGGAGAGCTGCCCCCCCCCCCCCCCCGGCGACGACTCGGCGACAAGACTTGCAACTCAAACACGGAGCACTCGGCTCAGCAGCTTGGCCCGGCCGCGTCTTCTAAATGGCAGAGGTCGCGGGGGCAACCAGGGGGGACATGATGGCAGGGACGAACATAGCGACCGGCAGAGGCCGAAAGGCCAAACTGAGCGCGGACCTCAGCTTAGCAGGCCTCGGGGGCAGAGGCCGAGCTAAAGGCCCCGCGCGGGGCCTGGCGGAGCCCCAGGCGGCCGAGGGGGCAATCTAGGCCGCGCGTGCTCGGCGTTGAGCAGGCGCGCGCGCGCATTCTCCAATCACGCATCCCGCTCAGGTCCTTGGCGGCCGTCGGCGAGGTTCTTTGCTGGAGGGGGCCCGCGTGAGGTCCTCGCCCGAGGCTGGCCCTGGCGGCGCTTACGACACACGGACATGACGCTTATCGCCAGCGAGCAGCCGGGGCCATAGCACGAGCGCGCGGCCCTTCCACCGTGACGAGCGAGTGAGAGTGAACGCCGAGCTGAGCTGCTCTCCTAAGGCTACAAAGAGCTCACCCTTCCTCCCCCATGCCTTCTACTCGTCGCCGTCGTTGACATCGTGATGATCCCTGTCCTTGACACTAACCTGCAACAAACAACACAACACCCCGTCAGGACAAGGGAAAAATAAAAACACGAAGAAAACTCTCAAAAAATTTGCACATTATTCATAGCAGCTCAGCCACAAATCCCCATATCCGCTCCTGCCCGCGGCGGCGCCGCGTCCCCAAACGACTTTCCTAGCGCCGCCCGATATATGACGGGGTATTTTTCAGCGCAAAGGGGGAGGCAGAGGAGGCGGGCGAGGTGGCGGGGCGGGGCGGGGGCGAGAGACCGGCGGCGGGCGTGAGATATGAAGGCATGCCCCGCGGGGCGTGGTGGGGCGGGGCGGGGCGGGGCGCACGAGCAGCAGCAGCAGCCCGCCCGGATGTGGAGGACCTCAGGACCTCTCCCCGCGGTCCCCACACCCCCTTCTTCTCGCCTAGTCCCCTCCGCGGCGGGACGCCTCGCTATGTCCTCCAGTCGGGCGAGTAGTCGCAGAGCATGACTCAGTCCCGACGCAAGCGACAGCGACACGAGCAGCGAGCAGCCCTTTCGGGTCGCGTCCCATAATGTACACCTGATCTAATTTTAGCCCGCCCCGCCCAACCCCGCCGCTCCGCATCGCCTCATCCCGGCCGCCGAATAAAGACGCCCAATCAATAGAATCCGTGGCCAAGGCCGTGCGGGAGCGAGCGAGCGAGCGAGCGGCTGGCGCTTATGTCCGTGACGTCATGCGCGCCGTGGCGTCACGGGGGCCGGGGGGGGAGATAGAGGGGTGGTGCGACCTCTTTCCCTCCCGCACCGGCAGTACTCCTTTATCGTCGCACACCAACACACGGCTACTACTTTGTTCTCGGCCTCTCTCGCACCACAGCTGCTGTTGTTGTGCGGCTCAAACTCTCTGCAGCACAGCATACAATCCATACTCCGCTCCCGGGGCTGCAGCGCGAGGCTGGGCGGCTGGCTGGGCGGCACCTGCACGCCGCCGGGTAGGCCACCCGCCGGGCGGCGGTGCGCGGCCGGGCTGGGCGTTGCCTACCCCGCAGGGAGCCTCGCAGGGAGCCTCGCAGGGAGCCCACTCGAGCCGCAGGTACTGGCCCGCGGCCCGGGCGGGCGGAGCAGGGCCGAGCAGGGCGGCGGCCGCTGATTCACCACGAGCGCCAGCCAAGCGGCAAGCTCCAGGGGCGTGGCGAAAGGGGAGGGGGGGGGGATCCTGGCTGGACGGCCAAAGTGTTTTGTAACCCGCTCGCCAAAGATATTCCACCCGTTTTATGGATATTTTCCCCGCAGCATTCAAGAGGAGAGTAACGCCCGGTAACGCCCGTTTTTCTGCAGCTTCGTGCTGTTTTAGATTCTATAGCGGCGCCCTCCCTGCGAAGGAGACACCGAGGAGAGGACACCACACCTCCACCGCCCCTCCAGGCGACGTGCAACCCGAACAGGACACCGGAAAAGCCAAAAATCTTTACTAAGTAACAAATATAACAAACGTAAAAAGTAACGACTGACTAAAACCACAAGGAAATTGGAAACTTAACTGCTCGGAATGTGAGTCGTCTCGCCTTCAACAGGGTTTGCGACCGAAAGGAAATTAATCACAGTCACAGATGGGGGTAGAGCGCCCCCCCCCCCCCCAGCCAGCCAGAGCCGTCCCAAAGTGCAGCGCACCCAGAAAAGTGTTTCTTTGAAAAAACATAAGGAATTTTTTTCCTTGTATCAAAGAAATTCCATTGTTTCAAAGTAAAATTCCCCTTAAAATAAAGAATTTTCCTTGAATTTAGGCAATTTTTTCCTTAAGCCAAAGAAAACATTTCGTTATATTTATTTAAGGAAAATTTCCTTAATTCGACGCTAATTTCTTTAACTTAAGGCAATTTCGCCTTGTTTCAAGGAAACGATTTTCTGGGTGCGCCATGGCGACAGCAGACCGGCCCGGGCCAGACCAGGCGACCCGCCCCTGCTCCGCCTGCTGACCTTTGCTCGGCCCACCCCTGCAGACCCACCCCCGTGCACCGCCTCACCCCTTTGGCCCGGAGGGGGGGGGGGGGGGGGGGAAGGGGGGAATAGCAGAGAATGGGAAGGGGAGTGGGTAGCAGGGGGACTCACAACGGAGGCACACGGCGCACTATTTTGGTCTCTCTGCTCCCGGCGCGGGGGGCGGGGAGGGGCGTGACCCCTGCTCTTCTCACTGTCACGGCATATGGCTCTCTCTCGGGCAGCTCGAACAGACATCCATGTGTGACGATTGAAAAATCACCATACCGCCACGCCCCACGCTACAACGGGACGCTTCTGCCCTCATGTCCGCGCCTCTCTGCCTGTCTCTAATTCCGTCTCGTATACCCGAACCCGAATAACATTATGAAGTGGGAGACAAAACTGCACGCCGTCAACATTTATCAGCGCGAGGCAAAACGTTTTGTCCTTCGCAGGGGGGGAAGCGGCGGCGGCTGCAGTCGGCGCGTCTGTTTGCATAATGTTTTGGGCGGGGCACTACTGTGTGTGTGTCTGTCGCAACGGGCCCACTGTATACTCTGTTGTGCGGCCGTCACGCGCACGCACGCACGCGCGCACGCGCACGGGAACCGCAATCATAACAAGGCACGCGAAAACAATCCCTGCCGCTGCTCCTGCTGCTGCGCCTGCTGCAGTGCTGCCGCTGCTGTTTCATCCATACGCTCGGGCTCAGCTCGGCTCCGGACCCGGCCACCGCGACATCACAAATCGAGATGAAAGCACCTCAAAGGGAACGCGCGGCGGGGGAGCGGGGCGGCAGGGCCGCGCGGCGCCGGCTTGTCTGGCCGCGAGCGGGGCGTACCGCCGCCAGGCGTACCGTAGCGGAGCGGGCGAGGCGCACCGTACAGTATTTGAAGGAAGGCTCTGGCGGCTTTATCTCGTCTTTTATTGCCCGCTGCCTGCGGCCCCGTCGGCCCCCGTCGGCCCCCGCGGCTCAGCCAGCGAGGGGCGAAGCGAACGAGCAGCCGAGCGAGCAGCCGAACAGCCGTGATTAGAGAGACAAGGCCCTTTCACTGTACAGCGCACTTTGGGCGTCACCAACAACCAAGACACCAAATGGTTTTCTCATAAAAGTCACATTTTTTTTATGTTGAAGTTATCGTTGACTGCGCCCCACGAAACTCCGTTCAGCGCGAAGTGCACTCTTTGCCTTTGACCTTTTCGCTTGTTAGCAGAACGGCACACAGCGAGTTGCTTCCTGCGCTAGGATGCCAGCAGGTGCAAATAAAAATACACACACAAAAGAAACACGAGTTGAATGCAACGCCCGGGCTGCTCCTGGCATTTCCAAACAAATCGTGCTATTTGCAGGTGCGCCACGCTATACACGAAGTCTCGAGCCTCGCGTGCAATAAAACGGAGGCGAAAGGAAAGGGCCCGAGCGGCGGGGCCTAGCTAGACTCGCGCCGTAACAACGCCAAATAACGCGGCTAAATATTTCACCGCCGCTCATCAATATTTCTCCCCCGCCTCTACGCTCCTCTTCGACGGGCCGCCCCGACCCGGCCCGGCCGGCGCCCCTGATCAGCCCTGTTGGTTCTGGCCGCGCGCCACAACGACCTCTCGGTACCCGCAGCCGCCAGCGTGCGCCAACAGCGCCAAAAAATCATGAAAACCGCACTCTAGGCGCTCCGACAGCAGGGGACTCCAGGGGACTCCAGGGGACTCCAGGAGAATCCAGGGAATTCAAGGGAATTTCAGGGAACTCCTAGTGGGAGGAGAGGGACGGCGGCCGGACCGGCGGCCCAAAACTTCCTCCGAAATGAGACAAGCCAAACGGAAAAGGGGGGGGGGGGGCGCTAGCGGTGGAAACAGAGATAGAAACAACAACCACCGAAACCATACCTCTTCTTAGCGAACAGACTTTCTCCACGGCTTTTTCATTTGCGATCGATAGGTGACCTCCCCGCCCGTTCCCCGCGAGTACTAACAAGAGTGTCGTGCTGGAAGAAGATCTCAGCGCAAACAAAACGTTGCGGCGTATTTACTCCGGGCAGGCGGGCCACCCTCCCCACAGCGTCTTTAAGCTGAACGAAGTAGAAAAAACATGTGTAGGGGTCGGGAGTAGGGCGGGAGCGGGGAGCGCGGGTAGAGCAGGAGGGAACATTTATTGGAACCTCCCCCGCCGGGCCGGCCGTCAGGTGGTGCTGGCTGGGCAAACAGCTCCACACCGCGCCAGCGCCCTTCCACAAACAGAAAACTTGCACGGCAAAATAACGACATGGGTGGCCGCCTCTTCCATGCATTCGCAAAACTTTCAGGATCTTGCGCGTTAGGAGTAAAAGGGGGG